ATGACCCTGAACCCAAATAGGCGTCTCAACATGGGACCCTCTAACATAAATCAAATGGAAACTCACTTCACCTGGATCTCAAGATACTATTCTAGATACCCCCATCGTTGAGGGGGGGGGGGTCCCCCCTTTACTAATCCCATTTGGACATTATATATGTATATGTATACATATACATGTATACATAGGCGTACACATTTTTTTCACTAACACATGTTTGCCGACAAGCACACACTGGTTCCACTTTTGGCTTCTCTTCAAGAGCCTAGCAAACAAATTTCCCCCGACAAAGCTACACTTCACCTGGGAACCCTGATATCTCCCCTCTGCGTTGATGAGTGGTTGGAGATGTTTAGGGCTTCACTTGCCCTGTCCTGGATCCTCCGGCTTCCGCTGCAGGCCCTGCTGCAGCAACGGCAGCAACAGAGGCGCTGCCTGCCCCAGCAGGCCTCGACGCGAGCGCGTGAAAATCCCAGATCTGATGTGAGTTCAGAGTTTCCATGGGCATCTCAGATTGAAATTTGGGTCACATTCCAAGGCCCTGAGTGGATCTGTGCCTGGCGGCAGGCTCAGCTCAACCTGGTCATAACTCACCAATTCATGCACAGAAGAGCCTCTGGCTTGCGAGCTGGGAAATTAAAGCATTGGTTACATCAGTTTTGCTCACCTCGAAACATGAACAATGCGGGCACTAACAAATAACGCAAAGCACACAAACACACCAAACAAACAAACCGACCAATCAAACAAACACACAATCAAACAAACCAGACAAGTGAGCAAAGCAAGCAAGAGTGGGCAAGCAAGCAGGACGACAAGCAAGCAAACAGAATACCAGTGACAAACCAAGGTTTCAGTTGCGAGCAACGAGAGACAATTTCATGCGAGGCCGGCAAGGCGCTTCAGTGTGTCAGCCATCCATTGACAAGGCAACACGTTTTCATTGGCGGGGTCCTCTGAGCTCTGACCATGACCGCAGGCCTCGGGATCTCTGCGCCATCTCCAGCTCTTTCGCCGCCAGCGCCTCCTGAGCTCGCAGCTCTCGGCAAGGCGTTTTGGGATGAATTGGGCCCACGGCCCCACTCAACTGCGAGAGTGATCAAGGTTTTGAGGCCATTCCACTGGAACATGTTCAAAATGCCTACTTCCCTTGAGCATGTCAAGTGGAGCAGTTTCTTATTGTGGCTGCCGTTCATTGATCAAGTGGCCGGCGTGCCCATGTCATCCATTGATGCCAAGGGACCGGAACATCTGGCAGAACCCGCACCAGCTCAAAAAAATGATACTCGGCGCCCGCGTTCAGTCACCACGCCCGCGTAAAGTCACCCACACGCATGGGAACACCGCCAGGTCTCAAAATAGACGAAAATGACACCCCCTCTTCTGATTTTCCCTGAAACCAAGCTCCAAACAACGGGGCAAGCTCCAACACACATCCAAATCAAGTTCACCTGGCCAGGGCTCCCAGACTTCAAGCGCTTGTGATGCCACCAGCTCGGAGCCAGACGCGCAGCCTGCTGCCACCTCTGCCAGCCTCAGGGCAGGCTTTGCCACACAGCTTCGGTGGACAACCATAGGTGTCCTTTTTGGTTTGTTCGCTTACAACATGCGGTTTTGGGCGAACACGAAGTAGCCCAGGGAAGCAAATGAGCACAAGGTAGATCACAATGTACCCAAAGCACCCGGAAACACAACTCGGGTGAAGCTGTGGATGATGACCGGGTTGAGGATGTGACGGTGGAAAAAGACGGTGTTTGGGGAGGTTGGGAAATAGGTTGCAAAAGTAGAGAAGTCAATCAAGCCCAGGATGACCTCGACGACCGACCACCTACCTCCTAACACCGGCGCCCCGCAGCCCCACGGTTTTCACCTCGGGGACGAAGAGTGCCGCCGTGTTATGGCGGGTGCACGTGGGTCCGAGATTGCCCTGACGGGAGGTTGAAATCTTGAGCCAAACGGCCATTCGGCCGCTTTGCCACATGATGAAACGACACGTGAACAAAACACACCCCCCTCATCCGATATCAGGACGAGAGAAAGGATGCGAGACAGTTGAGTTCACGACGAAAGGGACCAACCAAAAATGCCGGTGTCAACTCAGAGGTGAGCCAAACGGCATCACCTGGGCCCCAGTTAAAATCCCGCCACCACCCCGAATTATCGGGGCGACAGGATTATTTGACGAGTGGACCACATGAGTGAACAAAGACATATTGGAGGAACCAGACGAAGATTCCTCTCGTGCCGTTCATGAGTCGTCATGGGACGATGCCATGCGGAGGGGGATCCTATCTGGATCACCGCGCCTCACTGCACGCCGTGGAGCGGTTGGAAGAGTAGTCGAGTTGGGAGGAAATTAGAAACAGAAGTTCCGAAATTGGTGTGAAAATAACTGGCAATGGCCGGCCCGGCACTTCTAGTGCGGTCACAGCCTCACACAGGATCGCCAGGGGAACCGTCTCCGGCGCGCACGGCAGCGGTGCGGGAGGGACACGAGCAACGCCGGATCAGCGGTACAGGGCAATGGAGATCATCACCCCCAGCAGCGCTGCACGGGCGAGAGGAGGACCGGCGCGGTCGCGTTTGTCGGCGACACACGTACTATCCTCGCCCTTCTAAGGCGGATGCTGATTGCGGCACCCGTCTACCGGCGGATGCTGATTGCGGCACCCGTCTACCACCCTGAACCAGGCTCTTCCCGGTCCCTGGGCGCGTCGTCTCTTCGGCGTCCACCACGGTCACCTCGATCACCTCCTCCATCCCGACGGCGATCCTCACCACCACCCCTATTGTGGTCGCCAGCCGGAGGTCGGCGAGGCGGAGGGGGATCTGATTGGTGACGTCGGTCATCCCTGCGCCGGTCCCGGTGGCGATCGCGACGGTCATCGCCCGGGTCATCACGTCCGCGGCGCTCATCTCGCCCCGGGCCGCGCCTCTCGGAGGTCTCCTCATGACGTGGAGGAGGTCGGCGATCATCGCGTCGGCCTCCGCGGGTGTCCCTGCCACGATCATCCCTTTGTCGGGGCGGGCCGGGATCCTCACGTCCTCCTTTGCCAGGTCGATGTTTTCCTCGACCCTTCCCCTCACCCTTAGGACCACGACGATCCTCGCGGGCCCCAAGCGCGGTCCTTGACCGATCGTCATCTCGTCGGGGCCGCGACTCATCTGCCGCACGAGTGGTCCGAGGCACACCCGGGGGAAGCTCCCACTCGTCGTTGTCGTCATCACGCGGGTCATAGCCGCGATGGCCGCCCAAGGAACCGGTGGCATCCCGTGGTGGGGACGCAGGAGTTCCGGGACCGCCCGATCGAAGACGAACTCGGGGAGTCGCGTCCTCGCCGGTAAAAGGATCCTTCTGGGTGTAGAAACCCTTAGTCCTGCCCCTTCTCTCCCCACCTTCCACACCGCTTCTCGCGGGGACCGGGGATGGGCGGGCAGGCTGGGCCATGCTCTTAGAGCTGGGTTGCCCGCTAGGCGGGACCTGAACGCCCCCCTGCCCTTTTTCGGGCGCGGGGACCCGACCGCGAGATGTCCTTCTGGCCTTGGGTTGGTCGGACTCACCCTCCAGCTCGGACTCGGTGTCAGGGACACGAGTATTGATGGCCATGTCCTCTTCCTCAAACGGATCCCCAGTCGTAGTAACGCCTGCCGCAATGGGAGCGGGAGGAGGAGGAGGAGGAGTTGGCACAGCATCGCCAGAACTGACGCCTGCATGCGGCACCACGGGAGTCTCCGGTTCTACCGGGACAGGCGGCGCAGGAGGAGCCGGGGGCGGTGGCGGAGGGGGAGGGATCTCCTCCTCGTCGTCGCCCATGGGCTCGTCAAGGTCGTCAGGCTTCTCGTCATCTTCGTGCGAAGAACCATCCGATCCCAGCTCATCCTCCGCTGATCCAGCAAAGTCGGGCTCGTCTTCGTCCTTCACGCCGGGGCCTGGTGTAAGGCGAATTCCGGGTCGATGGCGATCGCGGGGTCGGAAGCGGTATTTCCTTGGTACAGGGTCGGATAGCTCCTGTTTGATGTCATCCTGGGTTTGAGGACGGTCGGCCAAGCAGGTGTCGTAGGCAACGGTGGACGTCCGGTAGATCAGATCGTCCATACTGCTGAGGTCGTTGAGGGTGTAGACATACCCCTTCTTAATGCCTTCCCGTATCGTGTCCATAGCCCGTTTGAGGCGCGCGGCAGGATCGAATCCGGCCTTTCTCCGCATGGCCTGCAATATCCCGCAGTGCTGTGCGAGCAGCCCCACCTGGAACTTGAATCCCTCCCCGGACACATCGTTGGGGAGTATCGGAGAAAGGTGTCCTGTTCTCAGCCCAATGATATGGGCCTCAAGAATGTAGTAGGACGTGTAGAAACCGCACCGGTTGGCGTTGAAGTTTGCGGTGGTTAGGCGTCTGCCCCACTCAGCCGCATATCCCTCATATTCTTCGAAGAATTCGGGGACGGAGCTCCCGTTGAAGGCCAGACCCCTTACCAGGATCGCCTTTGCTACCCACTCTTCCACGTTGTTGTCGACCGTGTCACGGTATTTGCCGTCAAGGACTTCGTCTCGGAGCGAGTCGTGAAGTTTCCGGAAAATGCCATCCACGTCCTCTTTGTCAAGGTACTTAGGAGGCCGCATCCCAGACATCAACAAGGACCGGGCATCGACGGCGGGACTCTGCGAGTAGAGGGCCATTCCGATGGCGTTGGCGTCTGAGTTGTTCCACAGAGCGGGGACGAAGCCCTCGTATTTTGCCAGCCAGGGAGGAACCAACCCGTCAGTGCTCGCTATCGTGCGAGGGCCGCCGTTCGTGTCTCCGGTGGGCAGGACGCCATCGTAGAAGATGGGAAGGTAGCAGGCGGTGCACAGGTGAGCGCCGACCGGATGGGCCGTCATGCACCTATGGCATGGAACGGACACCACCTCGCGGACATGTTCCGTCTTGGTGATCTGATGGTACTTCTCCATCTCGTCCCGACACTTCCTCGGGTTATCACTCAAGGAGTTGAGGAAGTTGGGCGGATAGCACCAAGGCCTCAGGTAAATGATGGAGCAGTCCTCCTTGAAGTAGACGCATCTCCAGTACCCGATCGCGATGTTCTCGCGCGACGCAAAGGTACCCTGACGAGTAATATGCATGCCCCCATTTTCCATGGAGAAGAAACGTGCATCGATAGCCATGACCACATATCGGGGATCGCTCCTTTGGCGTCGACCCGAGGTGTGCAGCTCCGTCACGTTGCTGTCGGTGATGCGGTCGACAGTGTCGTTGGGGCACTCTCCGTGATCGCGGAGGGATTGATACTCATCCGGCCGAGAGGGAAGGAGCTCGATCAGAGCTCGCCCACCCCGAATGATCGCCCCACGTTCTACGTAGAGCCGATACATTCGGAGAGGCACCACCTTGTAGAGCGTCTTAGGAACCACCTTGGAGGTGATAGGAAGACAAACAGGGCTCTCGTAGAGCATGTATTGGTATCGTTCACGAAATGCCCGGTAATCAGTGTCGGATCCGATTTCAAGCGACCTTACCGCCGCTATGCGGGCGGAACCAGGCAGCAACCGACGCTCCTTGTCACGAATGACGGTGATGATGATCTCGAACATTCCCACCCCATCCTCGAGAAAGGAAGACAGGAGGTATGAAGAAAAGGCATCCTCGGACTCGACGCTGGTCCCGAAGTAGTGGCTCAGGAACCTCTTCAGTTGTATCACCGAAGTAACGTTCCCTTGCCCGCTGGCAGACGAGGCCTCCAACTCTGGGTCCTTGACTGCACCTGCATTTCCAGGCTGCACAGCTGTTCCACGGAGCGCGTCGCGTATTTCCGCGCATGCTCTCCTGTAGTAGTGCGAAGAGGCGCCCGTTCTACCCTTCACCTTCTGACGGATCTCGTCGGCGAAGTAGTCCAGAAGCTCCTCGGGTGCGGGAACAATGGCCTGGATCATCAGGTCAGGATCACTCTTGGTCGGGAGGATAGGCCCTGCCCTGGATCTCACTCCCATCTCCAGGAATCGGGCAATGTCCCCGATTTTGGCGCACAGAGTAGCGATCGTGTTTCCGATCCTGGGGGCGATATCTTCGCCTCTCCTGGCGCCGAGGATGACCACGTTTTTCTTGATGGACTCCTCCTTCAGCCTCTCGAGGTTCCTCCGGGTGCCATCAGTGCCTTTCACCGCGCTGAGGCGGAGAACCGCAGGCTCCGGTTTGTCCGGTCGCACGAGCTGGCCGTCAGGAATCTGGTCGAAAATGCGCGAGGCGGACTTCACTGCTGGGACATTCCTGTACTGATCCGGCACGCTGTAAAAGGCGTAGGCGAGAGTGTCATGCGAGGATGTCTCCCAGTACGTGTACTCCTCGGAATCACGCGGGTCACCGACGACGCGACTCACGGTCCTCAGCTCGGCCAGAGCACGCTCCGCCTCGAACTGCGATCCGATGGTCGTGGGCAGCATGGCCCTCTCCTCCTCCGTGCAGTCGACGTATATGAACTGACCGGTATGCAGATCTCTGGGCGCGGCGAAGGGCCCCGCAGTGTCATGAACGCCCAGTA